TTTCGATGCTGGTCTAGCTTCAATTGACTCATGATTTCAACTTTGAAAATACTATTGTTTCACACAATTCTAATAACAGATACAGGCAGTACAGTACTCTCACATCAACTCAATCACACTACCTAATTCACATCATCCAAAAACAACAACACCACCACAATTCACATCAACAACAACAGTTATAACAATAACAATCATCATCATCATCATAATCACAATAATAATCATCATGATAATTATAATAATATTACTAATAATAAAAATAAAAATAAGAATAAGAAGAAGAAGAGGAATAAGATTAATTAAAGTAATAGTAGTAATATGATGATGACTGTTGTCATTATTATTATTATTATTATCATTCGTCGTAATTATAACGTTATCAATAATCAACATGATAACCACAACAGTAACAACAGTTTCAACATGCTGTTCAAAACACAATGACTCATCAACAAATGTTCCAAGACAAAAATTCACTTGTCTCAATAATCCACACTTACTCAGTCTACACACTTTGGTCAAATGAACTCACACAAACTAACAACAAACAAACACACACACACCTCGTCATACTGTAACACTCAACATTTAATCAAAACACATTCGCTGTATAGTTCAATTCTACTGTAATCCGATACAATACAGTACACTTGTTCAATTTCAAATCCAGTAGGACATCTCGACTCTGTTGACCACGTCAACACACTATCTCTCCGACACATCATTCAAATCCTCCACATATCTGGAAAATAATCATCCAAACTACTCACCATATGGAAATCTTCCAATGCGTATGTAGCACTAAACTAAACTAAGCACGCATACACCACACTTCCAACATAAATACCATTCGTAAATTCATCACCACTAATCACACGTTCCAACAACATTTTCAACACAAACACTCACCCACACTCACAACGCAGATCTATGCAACTATTCAGGTACCCTGTCAATCGTTATCAAGTCGATTTCAACAGCGTCGCATACGTACCACGTGAAATCCATCGAACAAAGCCAAGTGTGAATTATTGCTCTTTCATGTACGTACACAAACACACACACACACACACACCTACACAACACATACACACACATACAAGTAAATTGTTTCGATTGAACTACTTGATATCGGGTGTGAGCACGTGTTTGCTCAGAATGCCAACTTCCACGAGTATAAATACTGTGGTTGAATGTATCCAGTCAGCAACAAGTTGACAACAAACGACAATGCAAATCTTCACTGTATGTTGAAATACTGTTGTGTGTAATAATATATGCCTGATCGGTGTTTTTATTTCAGCTCGTCTTAGTTGTACTGGTCGTGTCATTCGAATGTCACAACTCAGGTGAGTCTTATCTTACTCGATCGCATAACATGAAATTGCCACTAACTGACAAGTAATTACAAAAGTATCTCACTTGCTGATTCAGTCTTCAGCTAAACACAACAGTGTTGTGTCATGTGTTCAAGTGAAGCAAAGTGGATTGATGCGAATTCAAGAGGACTGAAACGAATGGTAATGCACTGTGTTGTCGATTTGTGGAACAACATGTAGTGAAGTGACCAGAGTTGAAGTGGGCTGAATAGAGGTGTAGGCATATAATTGTTTTGTTTTGCTCTGTCATACTCCATGTGAATCATATTGTGACGTTGTGTTATTTCATTTTCAGTGATTGCAGAACCAGCACCAGACAGTCAGGGTGGTTGTTGTCCTGGTGCATGTCCTCAATGCCCTAGATGCTGTGGATGTCGTGGATGCCGAGGTGGAGACTGTGATGGAGGCTGCTGCAGAAACTGTCGTCGTGATTAGCACAACACTAACACCCATCTCCCTTCAACATCCAATGACGAGAACCCACCATCAAATATGTAGTTTATAATCTCTCTATCAAATATACGTGTACTCTTACAAAACTAACAATGTTTCTCTTTTCCCTACAAACTGTCCAGTCCCATCTTTGTCCTGCCACACCCCATCTCCAATCAGTCACTATTGTGTGCGAAAACTGATCACATGGTCAGTGCTCAATCAACACTTCAATAAGTAACACCACAAAATCACCACCACACCACACCACACAACACAACACAACAACCCATCCATCCATCCACACTCACTCACTCATACACACACGCACACACACCGACTGCAACTCCAACACAACCACACAAAACAAAATACAACACACAAAATAAAATACAAACAATAATCGCCTATACATCATCCTCACTCACATCCAATCTCCTTCAATATTCGAATCCCATCAGTCAGCAAATAATTTCTCTGTTCTCCAACAATCCACCTACACTCAATCCAATATCGACCAGCTCATACACTCCTTCACAGTTTTACACACGCAAACATACATACATTTTCTCATATACAAGTGTATGAATAAACTCAACGGTATAGGGATCTAGATAAACAAATACACAAGTCAAACATTCGATGATGGAACAGTCGCAATTCGACAAATCAATCTCCTGAAATTCATACATGTGTCTCATACATGTGTGACAGAGAATACACTGTCAGTATTATCAAACAATAGTCCACTGCATTCTGCTTATCCAATACACCATGCACCATTGATTCCTAATCTCCAAATTCAAATCTATGCAACAACCTACATATCCACTTTCCCATGTATCCACCTCTCAACCACTCTAACTATCTCATCATTGTTTGCGTTTGCCAACACGAAATCTAATTTGTACACTACTGTCGTTCACATCCTCCTCCTTCTCCTCGTTTACTACCACTTCCATCACAATCCACTGTCAACATCAGTATCAAACTGACTACACTCACACTCCCCCCATCCCATACATAAACTTCACAGACGACACACATACTCAACTACATAAATACACACGCAAACACAAACACAAACACACACACACACAAACAATGAAAAGGTTACCACTACACATTACTTCACCATGTATGTGAAGCTGATGAGTGAGTTCATCATGATCTAATTCACATTCACTTGATTGGTCAGTTCAACTCACATAAGTGCGAACTTGTCAAACAGTGAACCTCATGATCTCTCAAAACACTATTGTTTCATTTAGAAGGGGATTTATGGAGATTTCAGTATTTTTCAAAGTTGAAATCATGAGTCAATTGAAGCTAGACCAGCATCGAAAACCTGGAAGCACTGGACGGCCGTTTCGTCCTATTATGTGACTCCTCAGCAGTGCGCATCCACGAACCCACTCTCGCGGGATTCGAACCCAGGATCTACCAGTTTCGAGCCGAAGCCGTTAACCGATAGATAGCCCTTAACCGAGATATCAACTCACTGAAGACAATTGGTGAATGGTTGCTCAACTTCGTGGATCAGTTGAAGTTAGACATTAACACCGTTGGATGCCAGCTCAGTGGTCTATCGGTTAAGGGCTTCGGCTAGAAACTGGTAGGTCCTGGGTTCGAATCCCGTGAGAGCGGGTTCGTGGATGCGCACTGCTGAGGAGTCACATAATAGGACGAAACGACCGTCCAGTGCTTCCAGGTTTTCGATGCTGGTCTAGCTTCAATTGACTCATGATTTCAACTTTGAAAAAACTATTGTTTCACACAATTCTAATAACAGATACAGGCAGTACAGTACACTCACATCAACTCAATCACACTACCTAATTCACATCATCCGAAAACAACAACACCACCACAATTCACATCAACAGCAATAGTTATAACAATAACAATTTATGTGAACGTCAAAATAAGAAGCCTGAACAAATTACGGAAGCTATTTTCGGGGACGTTAATTCATTTAATTCAAAGCTTGTAAAACTGTAACATTTACTTTTGCCCCTAGCCTATTCTACAGATCATAAGCTTTCGTTTGATGTATAATTCATTGCCATAGCATTTTCTGTTCTAAAGCTATTGTCATTTAGACGTAATCTTTTGTACCCTATTTTGTACTATAACTCCCCAGTTTTGGACATGATTGTATTTTTCTAATTATTGTACGTTGTGGTCCGCTTAGTCATCTATTTATTCATGTAACTTTTCACCCTAATCTGAATTGGGAATTCGAGTGCTAGATCGGGTTGGAATAAAGTGATTAGTGTTCCGTCTGTCTTGTCTTCTCTCTCTCTCTCGTGCTTGCCAGCCAATCATGGACAGAATAGTTTTCGTCTCTCTACCCCTATTTCGAACTCACGCATACTGGCCTCAAGGTTAAGCCAGTCAGTCTATCGTGTCAAGGTCTTAATCTACATTATACTCGGCACTAAGTGGGTAGACAGATTCAAGGACGTAACAAAAGTGGCGACGGAGATTTTTTTCTTTTTAAAATATTGATTGATCCAAATCAAAATGTCTGTTTCTTTGGACGACCTTAAAACTATTCTACAAATCCAGCAAGCTCAGAATGATGCAAACCAAATGAAGCTTTTACATGCATTGATGCAGAAGCTCTCATTTCATTCATCATCAAATTCTCAGTCAGATAAATATGACAGCATCGCAAATTCTATTTGTGAATTCAATTATGATCCCGTTTCTGGTATTATTTTCGATTCCTGGTTTCGCCGTTTTGAAGACACATTTCGTGTTGAATGCTCGAATCTTGATGATGCAGCCAAAGTTCGCCTACTCTTGAGAAGACTCGGAACACTTGAATATAACAAATATGTAAATTTCATTTTGCCACAAAATCCACGAGATTTATCATTCAATGAGACAGTTCAAACTTTGTCCCAAATTTTTGGTGAACAATCCTCATTATTCAGCATCCGTTATCAGTGTTTTCAAATATCTAAATCCTTATCTGATGATTATCTCACATACGCTGGACATGTAAATAAAGAATGCGAACGTTTTAGAATAAATGAAATTACAGCAGATCAATTCAAATGTCTGATTTTTATCTGTGGATTAAAGAATTCGGAAGATATGGATATACGTACCAGAATTCTATCACGCATTGAGCAGGAGCCTAGTATGACCCTGCAAATGGTCACAACCGAGTGTCAACGGTTGTTAAATCTTAAACATGATTCCACGATGGTACAGCAAAATGCAAAGACTTCCAATCTTGCTTCAATAAATGCATGCAGATCTTACAAACCTTCCAAACAAAAGACGGCGAACACACAGAAACCTTCTGGTAAACCACCATCACCATGTTGGTCCTGCGGATCATGGCACTTTGTGAAGTTATGCCCATTTAAGAACCACAAATGCCGCCAATGTCATCGCATTGGTCATAAAGAAGGTTACTGCTCATCAGATAAACGTCAGTCCAAACATCGTGGCGTAAAGGTGAAGCGACAGCCACAGAGTCAAGTCGAAAGCACATTTGCAACTTTTAAAGTGGGATTTCAAAGTAATCGGAAGTATGTGAACTTATTAGTGAATGAAAAACTTATTCCTCTTCAGTTAGACACTGCTTCCGACATTACGCTGATCTCCAAGAACACATGGCGTAAGCTAGGGTGCCCACGCATCCGACCAACAGAGCATGTTGCTCGAAATGCTTCAGGCGACATAGTGAAGCTAACTGGAGAAGTCACCTGCAACGTGTAGTTCAAGGAACATAAATTCACTGACGTTTGTTATCTAACAAATCGGCATGATTTAGATCTATTGGGATTGGACTGGATTGAGAAGATTGATGTCTTAAATAGTTCATTAAATGAAGTATGTTCTCATAATCCTTGCTCTAATTCTATCCAAAATTCTCATGATATTTCCGAATCAAATGCCTCAGTTGTGTTATGTTCCCCTGATGTTTATGAACTAAATGCTTCCGATGTAACATGTTCTCGTAATATTTCGAAATCGAATTCCTCCGATTTAATGTGTTCTCATAATGATGTCAAATCAAATACCTCAGATTTGATGTGTTCTCATAATGATGCTAAATCAAATAACTCCGATGTAACATGTTCACAAAATGTTTCCCCATCAAATTCGTCAAACAAAGTATGCTGCCGTAATATCTCAAAATCTCATGCATCTTATTCCTCTAAAATGTCGACCACATCCCATGTAAATCATCTTCGGTAAAAACATGCAGATGTATTCCAAAACAAACTGGGCTGTTGTAAGTTCAACAAAGTTTTCTTGTCGTTAAAGCAAAATGCAAAACCTGTCTTCAGACCAAAACGACCAGTACCTTATGCTGCTCTGTCAGTCGTTGACCAGGAACTTGACAGGTTAGAAGCACTGGGTGTCATTCAGCCAGTAAATTACTCACCATGGGCTGCTCCTATAGTAGTTGTGAGAAAGGCAAATGGGACTGTTCGCATATGTGCTGATTTTTCCACTGGTCTAAATGATGCTTTAGAGGATCACACTTATCCACTTCCCATACAGGAAGATTTATTTATCAAACTAAATGGAGGGAAGTATTTTGCTAAGATTGACCTTGCTGACGCATATCTCCAAATAGCAGTTGATCCAGTCTCCCAACCACTACTGACGATTAACACTCACAGAGGCCTTTATCAATATAAACGTTTGCCTTTTGGTGTGAAACCAGCATCAGCTATTTTTCAACAAATTATGGACACTATGTTGGCAAATTTGCCAGGAGTCGCTGTCTATCTGGATGATGTTATCGTTACAGGTTCCAGTAAGTCCGATTTATTTGATCGACTTGATGCTGTTTTGACCAAAATATCTGAGTATGGATTTTATCTAAAAGAAGAGAAGTGTAAATTTTTCATGGACTCGGTAAAATATCTTGGTTTTGTTTTCGACAAAAATGGACGACGCCCAGATCCAGAAAACGTACGAGCTATCCAAAATATGCCTCCACCATCTAACGTCGCAACTCTACGCTCGTTCCTTGGTCTTATCAGTTATTACAGTAATTTTTTACCACAATTACATCGTCTCCGAGCACCCATGAACCATCTATTATCCAAAAATGTAAAATGGAACTGGTCCTCTGAGTGTCAAAAGAGTTTTGACAAAGTAAAGTCACTATTAATATCGGACCTACTTCTTACGTATTTTGATCCCTCACTGGAAATCGTTGTTGCCGCAGATGCTTCTGATTATGGTGTCGGAGCTGTTATATCCCACAGGTTTCGAGACGGCACAGAGAAAGCTATAGCCCATGCCTCCAGAACGTTGACTTCGGCATAACGCAAGTACAGCCAAATTGAGAAAGAAGGATTGGCACTAGTTTTTGCAGTTAAGAAGTTTCACAAAATGCTGCATGGTAGAAAATTTACCTTATTTACTGATCATAAACCCCTATTATCGATCTTTGGATCTAAGAAAGGTATACCAGTTTATACAGCAAATCGCCTCCTACGATGGGCTTGTGGAGATAGAACCTTAAAACCTATTTTGTAAATAATTTTTCATAGTTTTCGCATGTATTTTCATATTCTGTACATTAAGCATTAAACAATTGTACTTGTTGTTTAAGTGTATTACTTTGAACGCTTGTAACTCGACTTCCTTCCGTTTTGAGTACCACATATCGTGACACTGTTACTGCTTCTCAATAAATACACTCTAATTCACATCTGCATCGTTCTGCCATGTCTGCTAATATGTTGAATGAAATATTAATTGCATACCATCTACGTTTATAGACAACTGCGACATTCTTATTGAATTCTACGCTTGGTAAACCTACTGGATCTATATCGTCCATATTGGGATTACTAATTTTTTATAATTGTGGATTATTTGGACCAAACACAGCCGAACACGCAATAGCCTGAAGACTTAAGTAACGTCCCTTATTTTGTTATTTGTGTGTGTAATTAACTTATTAACTGTTAATTGTTACGTAAACTATAGACATAATATTTTTGTTGCTAATTTTTGGTTATCATACATTTTGGTCCACCACAGGCTACAATGTTGTTGGGTTATGATTTCACTATCAAATACAAATCTACCTCTGACTTTGGTCATGCTGATGCACTATCGCGCTTAATAAGAAATCATAAGCTTGAAAATGAAGATACTGTCATTGCTTCTATATCAGTGGAAGAAGATGTAAGCAGCATGTTGCTCAATTCAACGCGAATTCTTCCAGTGACAGCTGTTCGAATCGCTGATCCTATCTTAAGGCAACTAGCTACATTTATCCGGCGTGGTTGGCCCCCACGTATAACATCTCATGAACTAAAACAGTATTATCAACGACGCCAATCTTTATCCATCGTAAATGATTGTATTATGTTCGCTGTTCGCGTAGTAATTCCAAGTAACCTACGCCCACTCGTTCTGAAACAGCTGCACACAGCTCATCCAGGTATTGGAAGAATGAAAGCTATTGCTCGAAGTTATGTATACTGGCCTAACATTGATGAACACATCGAAGACTTAGTGCGTGCGTGCAGAAAATGTGCTGCAGCCTCGAAATGTCCACGGAAAGCTGAACTCAATTCTTGGCCATTCCCGAAAGAACCTTGGTCGCGTATACACATTGATTTCGCCGGCCCATTTCAAGGTACATATTTCCTCATTTGTGTCGACGCCTACTCAAAGTGGCCAGAGATTCTACCCATGAAGCAAATCACGTCGCAAGAGACTATTATCGAGTTACGGCAGTTATTCTCTCGTTTCGGAGTCCCAGATATTCTCGTGTCAGATAATGGCACTCAGTTTACTTCTTCCATTTTCTCTGACTTCTGCAACAGGTTTGGGGTCAAACATGTTCGTTCACCTCCATACCATCCACAATCAAATGGTCAAACAGAAAGGTTTGTGGATACCTTCAAAAGAGCGCTACTGAAGGCAAGGGGGAAGGGAAGATAAAGGAAATTCTTGATGATTTTCTGTTAGTCTACAGAACGGCTCAAAATCCATCAGCGCCGAATAAATTGTCTCCAGCAGAAATTATGTTTGGTAGAAAAGTTAAAACTGCTCTCGATGCCATAAAACCAAAGCAAAATGGTGTAGGAAGAAGAAACCAGAAGATGGAATCTCAATTTAATCGTCACCATGGGGCGAAAAGTAGAATCTTCCGAGATAACCAAAAAGTATATGTCCGTGATTTCCGATACTCACCTCCACAATAGACCAGTGGACGCATACTTGGGAGACGAGGGAATGTAATGTATGTGGTAGAGGTTGAAGGCCAAAAGTGGATACGTCACGCTAACCACATACTGGAAAGTTCTGGTACTCCTCAGAAAACCGAGAAAATGTGCTCATTGTGGGAAGTCTTCCTGGATAGTTTCGACATAGGAAGTCCAGCAACTAAGAAAACTGTACAACTGGAACAACATCCTATTAGGAGATCACAACGGAAACGCAGAAGGCCCGATATACTGCAGGTGGACCCGAAGAGAAGAGCATATACTTCTGAGGGGAGATATCAGTGATGATATCTTAGCTACTGTTTGTAATTAGTGTCTAACCGTTTTTTTTTTTTTTGTTTATTCCAGTTAACCCAATCGGTCACGACCACAACGCAATCCAGTTTTCCTTTATGCACTCAGTTAATGGCAGTGATGACATAACTTTTTTTTTGTCAAGGGGGAAGATGATGTGATCCGCAAAACTAGAAGCCTGAACAAATTACGGAAGCTATTTTCGGGGACGTTAATTCATTTAATTCAAAGCTTGTAAATCTGTAACATTTATTTTTGCCCCTAGCCTTTTCTACAGATCATAAGCTTTCGTTTGATGTATAATTCATTGCCATAGCATTTTCTGCCCTAAAGCTATTGTCATTTAGACGTAATCTTTTGTACCCTATTTTGTACTATAACTCCCCAGTTTTGGACATGATTGTATTTTTCTAATTATTGTACGTTGTGGTCCGCTTAGTCATCTATTTATTCATGTAACTTTTCACCCTAATCGGAATTGGGAATTCGAGTGCTAAATCGGGTTGGAATAAAGTGATTAGTGTTCCATCTGTCTTTGTCTTCTCTCTCTCTCTCGTGCTTGCCAGCCAATCACGGACAGTATGGTTTTCGTCTCTCTACCCCTATTTCGAACTCACGCATATTGGCCTCAAGGTTAAGCCAGTCAGTCTATCATATCAAGGTCTTAATCTACATTATACTCGGCACTAAGTGGGTAGTCAGATTCAAGGACATAACACCAATCATAATCATCATAATAATAATCACAATAATAATCGTCATAATAATTATAATAATATTACTAATAATAATAATAATAATAATAATAATAATAATAATAATAATAATAATAATAATAATAATAATAATAATAATAAGAAGAAGAAGAAGAAGAAGAAGAAGAAGAAGAAGAGGAATAAGATTAATTAAAGTAATAGTAGTAATATGATGATGACTGTTGTCATTAT